TGTCAAAGGACACCAGAAACAAAATTGTAGACCTGCACCAGGCTGGGAAGACTGAATCTGCAATAGGTAAGCAGCTTGGTTTGAAGAAATCAACTGTGGGAGCAATTATTAGGAAATGGAAGACATACAAGACCACTGATAATCTCCCTCGATCTGGGGCTCCACGCAAGTTCTCACCCCGTTGGGTCAAAATGATCACAAGAACGGTGAGCAAAAATCCCAGAACCACACGGGGGGACCTAGTGAATGACCTGCAGAGAGCTGGGACCAAAGTAACAAAGCCTACCATCACTAACACACTACGCCGCCAGGGACTCAAATCCTGCAGTGCCAGACGTGTCCCCCTGCTTAAGCCAGTACATGTCCAGGCCCGTCTGAAGTTTGCTAGAGTGCATTTGGATGATCCAGAAGAGGATTGGGAGAATGTCATATGGTCAGATGGAACCAAAATATAACTTTTTGGTAAAAACTCAACTCGTCGTGTTTGGAGGACAAAGAATGCCGAGTTGCATCCAAAGAACACCATACCTACTGTGAAGCATGGGGGTGGAAACATCATGCTTTGGGGCTGTTTTTCTGCAAAGGGACCAGGACGACTGATCCGTGTAAAGGAAAGAATGAATGGGGCCATGTATCGTGAGATTTTGAGTGAAAACCTCCTTCCATCAGCAAGGGCATTGAAGATGAAACATGGCTGGGTCTTTCAGCATGACAATGATCTCAAACACACCGCCCGGGCAACGAAGGAGTGGCTTCGTAAGAAGCATTTCAAGGTCCTGGAGTGGCCTAGCCAGTCTCCAGATCTCAACCCCATAGAAAATCTTTGGAGGGAGTTGAAAGTCCGTGTTGCCCAGCGACAGCCCCAAAACATCACTGCTCTAGAGGAGATCTGCATGGAGGAAAGGGCCAAAATACCAGCAACAGTGTGTGAAAACCTTGTGAAGACTTACAGAAAACGTTTGACCTGTGTCATTGCCAACAAAGGGTATATAACAAAGTATTGAGAAACTTTTGTTATTGACCAAATACTTATTTTCCACCATAATTTGCAAATAAATTCATTAAAAATCCTACAATGTGATTTTCTGGATTTTCTTTTCTCATTTTGTCTGTCATAGTTGACGTGTACCTATGATGAAAATTACAGGCCTCTCATCTTTTTAAGTGGGAGAACTTGCACAATTGGTGGCTGACTAAATACTTTTTTCCCCCCACTGTAAATAAGAGTGTGTAGGGTTTGCTATTAGCGTGCTAACACTAAGACAGACCGGTAGCATAGCTAGCCATCGCTAGCATTCACTGGTTGAAGTAACATTTGAGTGTAATGGACTTGACTGGTGAGTATGACATGAATATACAGTACCAGTCAAACGTTTGGACACCTACTCATTCAAGGGTTTTTCTTTATTTTTACTATTTTTCTACATTGTAGAATAATAGTGAAGACATCAAAACTATGAAATAACACATATGGAATCATGTAGTAACCAAAAAAAGAGTTAAACAAATTAAAATATTTTATATGTGATTCTTCAAAGTAGCCACCCTTTGCCTTGATGACAGCTTTGCACACGCTTGGCATTACTGGTACTGTATATCACAACATTTGGACCGGAGCTATAACACTTCAACATTTTTTACTGTGTGTCGTTATTGCTTGAAATCAGGCTTGGCTGCAATGCTTTCAATGGGTTTCCACTAGCTTTAGCCACAAAGCTAGATTCCACAGCCAAAATTGGCTAAAACAATTTTCTTTTTGGGCTGAATTTAAGATTATGGTTAGGCATAAGGTTAGCAGTGGGGTTAAGGTTAGGTTTAAAATAAAATTGTAGAAATTTAGAAATGGGCAGGTGGTTTATGACTTTGTGGCTAGTGATGACCCTTTCAATGGATAAAGATTGCTTCCGTCTCTCTAGGCCCCACTCTAGGTTGAAGACAACGTTTTCCCGCTTGCGTGAATTTGATTGAAAAAGTAACTTTACCATGTTGACCTATGCTAGCTAATGTCGGCATCGCCTACAAGTGTGCTCAGAGATTTCTATTGGAGAAGCAGTTTCTGCATATCTTCATACAGGGTTCCTCAACTGATTAGAGAGATATACAGTATGTGATCATATACAAAATGTAAGCAATGTTTGAAATTATTACGTTTTAGTCAAATATTACATTGCGGTCAATTTACAGTCTACAAATTTTTTGTCATTATGTTCCGGCCCCCTGACATCCGCTCAAAAAAAATAAAAAAAATATATATATATATACTGATAGATAGATAATGTGAAATGTCAGAATAATAGTAGAGAGAATGATTTATTTCAGCTTTTATTTCTTTCATCACATTCCCAGTGGGTCAGACGTTTACATAAACTCAATTAGTACAGTTGAAGTCGGAAGTTTACATACACTTTGGTTGGAGTCATTAAAACTCGTTTTTCAACCACTCCACAAATTTCTTGTTAACAAACTATAGTTTTGGCAAGTCGGTTAGGACATCTACTTTGTGCATGACACAAGTAATTTTTCCAACAATTGTTTACAGACAGATTATTTCACTGATGGCTTTAGAAGCTTCTGATAAAATAAATATAAATAAAATTAGCCTATTTCACCTTTATTTAACCAGGTAAGCCAGTTGAGAACAAGTTCTCATTTACAACTGCGACCTGGCCAAGATAAAGCAAAGCAGTGTGAAAAAAAAGGGGCAAGTTGCAGCGGAGGGTGCAGAGCTGGTGGCCGGGGTAGTGGTAGCTAGGTGGAAAGCATGGCCGGCCGTAGCAAAATGCTTGTTGAAATTCTCGATTATTGTAGATTTATCGGTGATGATAGTGTTTCCTAGCCTCAGTGCAGTGGGCAGCTGGGAGGAGGTGCTCTTATTCTCCATGGACTTTACAGTGTCCCAAAACATTTTGGAGTTAGTGCTACAGGATGCAAATTTCTGTTTGAAAAAGCTAGCCTTTGCTTTCCTAACTGATTGTGTATATTGGTTCCTGACTTCCCTGAAAAGTTGCATATCGCGGGGGCTGTTCAATGCTAATGCAGTACGCCACAGGATGTTTTTGTGCTGGTCAAGGGCAGTCAAGTCTGGGGTGAACCAGGGGCTATATCTGTTCTTAGTTCTGAATTTTTTGAATGGGGCATGCTTATTTAAGATTGAGAGGAAAGCACTTTTAAAGAACAACCAGGCATCCTCTACTGACAGAATGAGGTCAATATCCATCCAGGATACCTGGGCCAGGTTTACAGATTTTGGGTTGTACCTGGTAGGTTCGTTGATAATTTTTGTGAGATTGAGGGCATCTAGTTTAGATTGTAGGTTGGCCGGGGTGTTAAGCATATCCCAGTTTAGGTCACCAAGCAGTACGAACTCTGAGGATAGATGGGGGGCAATCAGTTCACATATGGTGTCCAGGGCACAGCTGGGGTCTGAGGGGGGTCTGTAGCAAGCGGCAACAGTGAGAGACTTATTTCTGGAAAGGTGGATTTTTAGAAGTAGAAGCTCAAACTGTTTGGGCACAGACCTGGATAGTATGATAGAGCTCTGCAGGCTCTCTCTACAGTAGATTGCAACTCCACCCCCTTTGGCAGTTCTATCTAGACGGAAAATGTTGTAGTTGGGGATGGACATTTCTGAATTTTTGGTGGCCTTCCTAAGTCAGGATTCAGACACTGCTAGAACATCAGGGTTGGCGGAGTGTGCTAACGCAGTGAATAACTCAAACTTAGGGAGGAGGCTTCGGATGTTTTAACGTGCAAGAAACCAAGGCTTTTACAGTTACAGAAGTCAACAAATGATAACGCCTGGGGAGTTGGAATGATACTGGGTGCTACAGGGCCTGGGTTAACCTCTACATCAGAGGAGGAGTAGAATAAGGATATGGCTAAAGGCTTTAAGAACTGGTCTTCTAGTGCGTTGGGTACAGAGAATAAAGGGGCAGGTTTCCGGGTGTTGTAGAATAGATTCAGGGCATTATGTACAGACAACGATATGGAAGGATATGAGTAAAGTGGAGGTAAACCTAAGCGTTGGGTAACGATGAAAGAGATAGCATCACTGGAGGCACCGATTGATTCGGTCTCCGCGTGTATGGGGGGTGGGACAAAGGAGCTGTCTAAGGCAGGTTGAGCTGGGCTGGGGGCTCTACAGTGAAATAGTACAATATGAAATGGCTTGTTGGAGCTGTAGTGCTCCTGAGCCTTGTTGATGAAGGTGAACTGGATGAGGATGCTGACGGCCAGGGTTCCCAGTAGACCCAGGAAGAGACCCAGGGCTCGGCTGCTGGAAGGCCCCCCGCTGAAGGCATCCTGGGTGGCCAGGCCCAGACCCTTGCTGCTGGGGTCTGTGAAACTCCCCAGGAGGAAGCAGATGGATACGTACTCTACACCTTGATGTTGGACGTGCCGTGAACTGGGTCCACCGACACCGTCAGCACATTCAGCCGTGAGCTGGGTCCACCGACACCGTCAGCACAACCAGCCGTGAGCTGGGTCCACCGACACCGTCAGCACAACCAGCCGTGAACTGGGGCCACCGACACTGTCAGCACAACCAGCCGTGAGCTGGGTCCACCGACACCATCAGCACAACCAGCCGTGAGTAGTAGGACCACCAACGAGGCATAGGTTTACAAACACTGCATGGAGAGAAAGCACAGACTCATCTCAGCATTATTCTCAGCATCCTCCACCAACAACAATCTTGGATTCTTGTGGAGGGCAATTACATGAACTATTTGACACTGTTGCACAAATCAAAATGTGAAAACTATTGTGAAATGTACATATCTGACCATATAAGTCAGGAGCAGTCACTGTATGCGTCATAAATGGCATCTTATTCCCTACTTTACACCAGAGCCCTGGTCAAAAGTAGTGCTCTATATAGGGACTAGGGTCCCATTTGGGACCTAATAAACATGTCCAGGTCCCACCCACCTGAGCCAGCCAGCCTCTCCTCCAGATCCAGACTAGAGGTGACGCCCTCTGATTTAGGGGACTGAATGATGAGCACTACAGAACCAGAGCATCACATCACCCAGCCCAGCTTCCCCGGGACATCACATCACCCAGCCCAGCTTCCCCAGGACATCAAGGCCAGTACAGCCCTGGATCACAAAGCATTACATTCTCCTGCCATGTGGAAAACAAAACAGGAGTTTATTATCTATGCAGTCACTTTACCCCTACCTACATGCACAAATTACCTCGACTAACCTGTATCCCCGCACATTGACTCGGTACCGGTACCCCCTGTATATAGCCTCATTGTTGTTATTTTATTGTGTCACTTTTTACTTTATTTAGTAAATATTTTAACTCTATTTTCTTAAAACTGCATTGTTGGTTAAGGGCTTGTCAGTAAGCATTTCACTGTAAGGTCTACACCTGTTGTATTTGGCGCATGTGACAAATAAATGTGATTTGATTTGAGTTACACACTCAATGATAACATGCCAAACAATAACTCTCACCTAACCAGCACCCCAGGGCTCCTAAAGGTGTTACCCCCACAGCAGGGGCTGCGTTATAGGTCAGGAAGTTCCCAATCTGGTCCACAATCACTGTTAGAAGGAATTCATAAGAGGTCAGTGGCATTCAATGAATATCAAAAATTATATAAGTTATTGTCTCTTGGAAACATTCCTTGCACATCACGGGAACTTTACTATGAAAACGTTAGTTAATTACCTATTGACTCTTAAGGGAACGTTCTCTAAAGTTGTGGGAACGTTTGTTCAATAATTAGGCTACTTCAAGGAAGCAAGGGAGGAATGAAGGATGCATGCAAAATATTCGAACACGGCCCGGTGACTGGCTAAAGTCTAGCTACGTCATCCGTTTCGATGCCCTGGATGGTTCAGCTGTCAATCATATGGGTCCAACATGGACGACCTGGTAATGCAGCAAAGCCCGTGATAGGACTGGAGGGACCAGAATATAATAAGAAAAGCTTGCAGGTAAGGACAACATAATTGTATACATTTGTCATATAAATGTAGATGAAGTGAGCAACATCGGCGAGTGTATAGGATGTGAAACGCTTCTGTCCGTGCATTTGTTATGACCTAACGTTAGCTAGGTAGCTTGCTTGGATAGCCGCAGCGCTAAAGTAAACTCATATTTGGTCAACTGCAACACTAACGCTAGTATGATAACACAGCAAGTATCCAAACAGTTTAGATAAATGTAGCTAAAACAAGTGTGTGGTAACTAGTGTAGATTTGCTTTGCAAATGTAGCGATAACGGTATTAAGAACAATGTTGATTGCTGTGTCTTACTGTCGAAGACTTAATTTGTCAATAAAATCTAGCTAGCTAGCCAAACACTAGCCTGCAGATCCGAACCGCTTGCTTACAGCTGCCCAACGGTCGGACAACATCCCTGGGAATATTATATAAAGACACCACGGAGCCGGCGCTAGATATGGCTCGGAAAATGTACCTCAATCCAGGGATGAGAAATGCCTTGTTCTCCGAATTGTCCAATTATCCGAACTGTTACAGAAGAAGATTTAACGACGGGCTAGCTAGTTTTTCCCGGAACACGGTCCTTTTTGTCCTCATGCTAAATAGCTAGAAGTTAATGCAGCCATTTTGGAATGGCAGTGTCAGCCAATCAGCTCCTTTGTTGTTCAACGCGACCCCCATCCCATAATGGCTGCTGTTGCTACTGCTAGCTAGCATGGGGACGATATCTGCACTTTACTTAAACTAGCAGTCGTTCAATCTTTCGGTGTAACAGTTGGGATAATGGGACAATTCGGAGTACAACGCATTTCTCAAATCATAGTTTATTGGTCACATTATACACAGATTTGCAGGTGCAGCGAAATGCTTGTGTTTCTAGGTCCAACAGTGCAGTAATACCTAGCAATAATACAATTAAAAAAAACACATAATCCAGAAAAATTAAGAAATATCAGGAAAAAGCATTGTCAGAGACCGGAATATAAATATGAACAAAAATGTAAACCCAACAATTGCAACGATTTTACTGAGTTACAGATCATATAAAGAAATCAGTCAATTGAACTAAATTCATTAGTCCCTAATCTATGGATTTCACATTACTGGGCAGAGGTGCAGCCATGGGTGGGCCTGGGAGGGCAAAGGCCCAGCCACTGGGGAGCCAGGCCCAGCCAATCAGAATGAGTTTTTCCACACAAAAGGGCTTTATTACAGACAGAAATACTCCTCAGTTTCATCAGCTGTCTGGGTGGCTGGTCTCAGATGATCCCGCAGGTGAAGAAGCTGGATGTGGAGGTCCTGGGCTGGCGTGGTTATACGTGGTCTGCAGTTGTGAGGCCGGTTGGACGCACTGCCAAATTCTCTAAAATGACATTGGTAGAGAAATTAACATTCAATTCTCTGCCAACAGCTCTGTTGGACATTCCTGCAGTCAGCATGCCAATTGCACACTCCCTCAACTTGAGACATCTGTGGCATTGTGTTGTGTGACAAAACTGCACATTGTAGAGTGGCCTTTTATTGTCCCCAACACAAGCGGCACCTGTGTAATGATCATGCTGTTTAATCAGCTTTTTGAAATGCCACAACTGTCAGGTGGATGGATTATCTTGGCAAAGGAGAAATGCTCACTAACAGGGAAGTAAACAAATTTGTGCACAACATTTGAGAGAAATAAGCATTTTGTGCGCATGGAAGTTTTATTTATATTTTTGTATATATATATATATATATATATATATATATATATACACAGCTCTGGAAAAAAATTAAGAGACCACTGCACATTTTTCTTAAATCAGCATCTCTACATGTATGACAGCCGTTCCATTCCAGTGTCTGTTGAATTCCAACACAGGCACACCTCATTCTACTGAATTAGGTACTGATTAGGTGATCACCTGAACCAAATATTATTTAACGAGGAAAAGTATAAAAACCACTGCTGTGGTCATCACTATCCTCTTGCAATAGGACCAGATGGATGGCAAAAACAGTGCTAATAGTACCTCAACAGTAATATTAATACAAAAATAACTATTGACCATGCCAAAAGAGTTGAAAAGGAAAGTTTTGAGTGAGGAAAAGAAGGGTTCAATTATGGCTTTACTGGCAGAGGGATACAGTGAGCGTCAGGTTGCTTCCATCCTTAAAATTTAAAAGACGGCGGTTCATAAGAACAAGGTCAAGCAGCAGACATTGGGGACAAACAAAGCTACAGACCGGCAGAGGGCGAAAATGACTCTCTACTGACCGGGATGACCGCAGACTCATTCGAATGTCACTCGTCAACCGTAGGATGACATCAAGTTGGGGTGAAGTGCACGGCGAGGACGGTTCGAAACAGGCTCCTAGGGGCAGGGCTGAAGTCGTGCAAAGCTAGAAAAAAGCCCTTCATCAATGGGAAGCAAAGAAGAGCCAGGCTGAGGTTTGCAAAAGACCATAAGGATTGGACCGTAGAGGACTGGAGTAAGGTAATCTTCTCTGATGAGTCCAATTTTCAGCTTTGCCCAACACCTGGTCGTCTAATGGTTAGACGGAGACCTGGAGAGGCCTACAAGCCACAGTGTCTCGCACCCACTGTGAAATTTGGTGGAGGATCGGTGATGATCTGGGGGTGCTTCAGTAAGGCTGGAATCGGGCAGATTTGTCTTTGTGAAGGACTCATGAATCAAGCCACGTACAAGGTTGTCCTGGAAGAAAACTTGCTTCCTTTTGCTCTGACATTGTTCCCCAACTCTGAGGATTGGTTTTTCCAGCAGGACAATGCGCCATGCCACACAGCCAGGTCAATCAAGGTGTGGATGGAGGGACCACCAGATCAAGACCCTGTCATGGCCAGCCCAATCTCCAGACCTGAACCCCATTGAAAACTTCTGGAATGTGATCAAGAGATCAATACCTGGGATAGGCTAAAGTATTCCTTCTAACCCCCCCCCCCCCCCCCCCCCCCCCAAATTGTAAAGTGGTTATCCCACTGGCTATAGGGTGAACGCACCAATTTGTGAGTCGCTCTGGCTAAGAGCGTCTGCTAAATGACGTTAATGTGCCCTTGAGCAAGGCACTTAACCCTAATTGCTCCTGTAAGTCGCTCTGGTTAAGAGCGTCTGCTAAATGACTAAAATGTAAATGTAAATGTAAGAGGAAGATGGATGGTCACAAGCCATCAAACAAAGCCGAGCTGCTTGAATTTTTGCGCCAGGAGTGGCATAAAGTCACCCAACATCAATGTGAAAGAATGGTGGAGAGCATGCCAAGACGCATGAAAGCTGTGATTGAAAGTCAGGGTTATTCCACCAAATATTGATTTCTGAACTCTTCCTAAGTTAACATTAGTATTGTGTTGTTTAAAAATGAACATTAACTTATTTTCTTTGCATTATTCGAGGTCTGACAACACTGAATATTTTTTGTCATTTTGACCTTTGTCATTTTCTGCAAATAAATGCTCTAAATGACAATATTGATTTATTTCTTTATTTTTAATGATTTATAAAGCCTGGCACATCTAACAGGATATTGATTATAGACCTAATTAAGTTGGGGTTTCCTCTCTCCTCACTTTTCTTAGACAATAAGGCAAGGGCTGTTGCTACCTCCACCACATTGTTCTCAACACCAATAAGCTGGTTAACTTTGCTATTATGCACATAGCAACATGGTCAAGGAAAAGGCAGAGTCGGCTAGTAGCTAGAAACAGGGCGACCACGTCTGTTGGCGCCATCTTGTTCTCGTCCCTGGATTGAGGTTTGTTTTCCGAGCCATATCTCGCCCCGTGGTGTCATAATATACACAGGAATGCTGTCCGACCCGACTGTAAACAAGCGGGTTTTGAGTTGTTTCATCTTACTGTCCAAACGCATTGTATGCAGCCGGCAATACACTCATATGGTTAATGTTAATTCCTGATGTTGCGCCCTGCATTCAGCCATATGGTTAATGTTAATTCCTGATGTTGCGCCCTGCATTCAGCCATATGGTTAATGTTAATTCCTGATTCCTATTTCCTAGGGCCGGGACGATACCAGAATCGCAATAATTCTAACACGAAGCAGACCAAACTCTTTGGTCCTTTAAATACCTGCTGTATGTAAACTATTGTGTGCTTTAGCTTGGAAAATAGGACAACATGATGTTTTGTTTACAACATTTTAGGGCTGTTTCCGGTTTGTTTTCCGAGCCATATCTCGCCCCGTGGTGTCATAATATACACAGGAATGCTGTCCGACCCGACTGTAAACAAGCGGGTTTTGAGTTGTTTCATCTTACTGTCCAAACGCATTGTATGCAGCCGGCAATACACTCATATGGTTAATGTTAATTCCTGATGTTGCGCCCTGCATTCAGCCATATGGTTAATGTTAATTCCTGATGTTGCGCCCTGCATTCAGCCATATGGTTAATGTTAATTCCTGATGTTGCGCTCTGCATTCAGCCATATGGTTAATGTTAATTCCTGATGTTGCGCCCTGCATTCAGCCATATGGTTAATGTTAATTCCTGATGTTGCGCCCTGCATTCAGCCATATGGTTAATGTTAATTCCTGATGTTGCGCCCTGCATTCAGCCATATGGTTAATGTTAATTCCTGATGTTGCGCTCTGCATTCAGCCATATGGTTAATGTTAATTCCTGATGTTGCGCTCTGCATTCAGCCATATGGTTAATGTTAATTCCTGATGTTGCGCCCTGCATTCAGCCATATGGTTAATGTTAATTCCTGATGTTGCGCCCTGCATTCAGCCATATGGTTAATGTTAATTCCTGATGTTGCGCCCTGCATTCAGCCATATGGTTAATGTTAATTCCTGATGTTGCGCCCTGCATTCAGCCATATGGTTAATGTTAATTCCTGATGTTGCGCTCTGCATTCAGCCATATGGTTAAAGTTAATTCCTGATGTTGCGCCCTGCATTCAGCCATATGGTTAATGTTAATTCCTGATGTTGCGCCCTGCATTCAGCCATATGGTTAATGTTAATTCCTGATGTTGCGCTCTGCATTCAGCCATATGGTTAATGTTAATTCCTGATGTTGCGCCCTGCATTCAGCCATATGGTTAATGTTAATTCCTGATGTTGCGCCCTGCATTCAGCCATATGGTTAATGTTAATTCCTGATGTTGCGCCCTGCATTCAGCCATATGGTTAATGTTAATTCCTGATGTTGCGCTCTGCATTCAGCCATATGGTTAATGTTAATTCCTGATGTTGCGCTCTGCATTCAGCCATATGGTTAATGTTAATTCCTGATGTTGCGCCCTGCATTCAGCCATATGGTTAATGTTAATTCCTGATGTTGCGCCCTGCATTCAGCCATATGGTTAATGTTAATTCCTGATTCCTATTTCCTAGGGCCGGGACGATACCAGAATCGCAATAATTCTAACACGAAGCAGACCAAACTCTTTGGTCCTTTAAATACCTGCTGTATGTAAACTATTGTGTGCTTTAGCTTGGAAAATAGGACAACATGATGTTTTGTTTACAACATTTTAGGGCTGTTTCCCTAAAGAAGTTACAATCGCTTCAGGGACACGAACACAGCCACGATAATAAGATGAAACGACTTAATATCGCCATCTGTTGCCCTTTGGGCTAGACAAACGTCTAACCACATTGCGTGCTAGCTTCATCAGCTACCTAGCTCGCCAGCTAGTTACGCCATTTCGTTAACCCAGATATCGCTTCTCTATGTTGCTGGCATTATGCAACAGTTTACTAACATTGGCCCCCACAAAATAATGATTTTAATTGTTAAAAATAGTCCTGCCCGTGTTACAAACATAGCTAGCTTGCTAACATGTTAGCTAGCTGAGCATCGTCACCTAGGAAACAGGCTTTAAATGTCACAGATAACTAACTGCTGATGTACTGAGGCCCTATTCAGATTTTTGTTTTAATTATTTGTTCTCTTCATAGGGCTCGGTGCGTTTGCAGCCAGGAGAGAAGACGGAAATATGCCTACTCCGTATTTTACCCTAGATGCCCAACTGAGGTTCCATGACAAATGGCTGAAGATCGACCTGCAGGTAAGACCACTGCCCACTTCACTGCCATGAAAACTCTTGGCTGGAAAGCAGGCCTATTGTACAATGAAACAGTGATGATAATTTTAGTTCTTACAAACACCATGTTGACACAACATTATTTTAAAGCCTTGAACATGGAGGTAGATGTGCAGGTAGCTTAGTGGTTAAGAGCGTTGTGCCAGTAACCGAAAGGTCGCTGGTTCCAATCCCCGAGCCGACTAGGTGAAAAATCTGTCGATGTGCCCTTGAGCAAGGCACTTAACCCTAATTGAGCTCCTGTAAGTGGCTCTGGATAAGAGCGTCTGCTAAATGACGTAAATGTAAATGGTGTGCTTGCCTAGAGATGAACACCCTGCATGGGTCGCCAACCCTCTCCTCCTATAAAGCTACTGGGTGTGAAGGCCCCCACACAAACAGCTGATTAGACCTGCTGAGGTTTATTATGTACAGTTTCAGTTCTCTTCTGTATTTTGGAGTAATCAACTGAGACTGACTGGGCCTATGATCTCGGATGGAAGATTAGCTTCAGTTAACCCGATTGTGGTAATGATGAATTGCTCTTTCTCAACCATTCTGTTCTATTTCCAATATGTTAAAGATAAATGATGACATTGATTCAAATCAAATCAGTAATGTGGTGGTCTTACCGTGTTTGCCAGCATGTTAGGTAGGTTCATGCTGGTTTTGATCGAAGCAAGGTGCAGAACTCCAGTATTGGGTCCACTGCAGTTTAAAGGGATACTCCAGTATTGGGTCCACTGCAGTTTAAATGGATACTTTGGGATGTTGGCAATGATGCCCTTTATCTACTGACCCAGAGTCAGATGAACGTTAGAGCAATGACTGGAAGTCTATGGGTATCTGCTAGCAGAGTTGGCTAAATGGCCTCATTGACAAAATCCAGAGGTATCCCTTTAAACTTTCAAGCTGACTGTGTGAAGTGATGCAATGTGATGTGTGTGTTTATGTGTTTGTTTTTCTTCAAGACATTCGAGCTAGTGTTGCATAAGTATTTTCCTAAATGCTTGTTGCCATAATTAGACAGGCAGCTCTCAATGATGTCCGAGGTTGCTTCCCAAATGGCACCCTTATATTACCCTTCGTATGTAGGCCTATAGGGCTCTGATCAGAAGTAGTGCACTATATAGGGAATAGGGTGCCATTTGGGATCCTACACATGGCTTGGATGTTAGCATGCCATGTTATTGACAGTGAAACCTGACTCTTTGAAAGCCTGTTTTGGCTGTTTGTCCATTTAGTCAATAGTTATTGGATTACGTTATGAAGCAATGTGAGTAGGGGAAGCCTAGATTTCTACACTCATTGACAAATAGACTCTCAAGCAGGCACATCAAACTGTGCTGTAAGTCTGTCACAGGATCATTTGATTGCGCAGTATTCCAGAATTGTTATGGCACACTGTTAATTCAGTAACTTCTAGTATTTTCAAACCGGATGTTTGACAGACTGTTGGTGAACCTGCTGTAGCCTTTAATATATTTGGGATATTGACATGGTCCAAATCTTGTTCTTTAAGAACAAGAGGCTTTATCAATCTGTCCAAGAATAAACCCGCTCCATGTTGGCCTCTTGCTTCAGTAAAATACAATAATACTACTGCCACCTTATTCTCTATATAGTGCACTAGACTAGACCAGGACGCCCTAACCCTAACCCTTCCTGGTTGTTGTTCTGACTGTGTATGTTGTGAAAGGCTCGGTATAAACCCTAAGCTGATGTCTTTTCCCATGGCAGCGAGTGTTCTCTCCAGAGGGGCTGAGTGAGATGTGGAATGAGATGGTGAAGGATGAAGAGATCACCTTCAATGGAGAAGAATCGGCTCACCCAGGTAGAAACTACAATACCCATCTACCCTGTACCTTTTCATGACTACAATACCCCTGAACCTTTAAATATATTAGTTTTTTTTTTTTGTGTAAGATTTTCAGGGTTCTCCCCCAGGAATGTAAGAGGGGGGCTGCACCATCTTTTTGACTATGTAAACCTTTCAGAGAAATCACCTTCCACTGTGAAAAACTACAAGCCTGGAAATGCCATGCGTTTCTAATATACAGTACCAGTCAAAGGTTTGGACACACCTACTCATTCAAGGGTTTTTCTTTATTTTTAATATTTTCTACATTGTTGAATAATAGTGAAGACATCAAAACTATGAAATAACACAACCAGAAAAGTGTTAAACAAATCAAAATATATTTTATATTTGAGATTCTTCAAAGTAGGCACCCTTTGCCTTGACGACAGCTTTGCACACTCTTGGCATTCTCTCAACCAGCTTCACCTGGAATGCTTTTCCAGCAGTCTTGAAGGAGTTCCCACATATGCTGAGCACTTGTTGGCTGCTTTTCCTTCACTCTGCGGTCCGACTCATCCCAAACCATCTCAATTGGGTTGAGGTCATGTGATTGTGGAGGCCAGGTCATCTGATGCAGGACTCCATCACTCTCCTTGGTCAAATAGCCCTTACACAGCCTGGAGGTGTGTTGTGTCATTGACCTGTTGAAAAACAAATGATAGTCCCACTAAGCGCGAACCAGATGGGATGGCGTATCGCTGCAGAATGCTGTGGTAGCCATGCTAGTTAAGTGTGCATTGAATTCTAAATATATCACAGACAGTGTCACCAGCAAAGCACCCCCACACCATCACACCTCCTCCTCCATGCTTCACGGTGGGAACTACACATGCGGAGATCATCCGTTCACCCACACCGCGTCTCACAAAGACACGGCGGTTGGAACCAAAAATCTCAAATTTGAACTCCAGACCAAAGGACAGATTTCCACCGGTCTAATGTCCATTGCTCCTGTTTCTTGGCCCAAGCAGGTCTCTTCTTCTTATTGGTGTCCTTTAGTAGTGGTTTCTTTGCAGCTATTCACACAGTCTCCTCTGAACAGTTGATGTTGAGATGTGTCTGTTACTTGAACTCTGTGAAGCATTATTTGGGATAACTGTAATGAACCTATCCTCTGCAGCAGAGGTAACTCTGGGTCTTCCATTTCTGTGGCGGTCCTCATGAGAGCCAGTTTGCGACTGCACTTGAAGAACCTTTAAAAGTTCTTGACTGATCTTCATGTCTTAAAGTAATGATGGACTGTCATTTCTATTTGCTTATTTGAGCTGTTCTTGCCATAATATGGACTTGGTCTTTTACCAAATAGGGCTATTTTCTGTATACCACCCCTACCTTGTCACAACACAACTGATTGGCTCAAATGCATTAAGAGGAAAGAAATTCCACAAATTAACTTTTAACAAGGCACTCCTGTTAATTGAAATGCATTCCAGGTGACTACCTCATGAAGCTGGTTGAGATAATGCCAAGAGTGTGCAAAGCTGTCATCAAGGCAAAGGGTGGCTATTTGAAGAATCTCAAATATAAAATATTTGGATTTGTTTAACACTTTTTTGGTTACTACATGATTCCATATGTGTTATTTCATAGTTTTGATGTCTTCACTATTATTCTACAATGTAGAAAATAAAAAAATTAAAGAACAATCCTGGAATGAGTAGGTGTTTCCAAACTTTTGACTGGTACTGTATATTATAATTGTGCAATGTTTCATGTCGTTCCATATGATCAAAATAAAGAAACTTATGCTACAAGGGGATATGGATCTTTGTCCCAGCGAGCCGTGGTATCAGCTGATATTCGCCAACCAGGCCTGGGATGTCCAGGTTATTGAGTTGCCATAGTGGCCGATGTGCTCCAGTAATTATGTAGTCTGTCTTTCGCTATGTAGTTTATTTATCGCATGCACAAATAGCTAGCCTAGGTTTACCAGAATATCACCTGTCCGGCAGTGAGAGCGCGCAACTCATCCAACATCTGGTTGATGCGTGAAGAGAAACGTGTTCTGATAAGCCCAGTCATTAAGCAACAATTCTAAATGCAACCGCAGGAAAAACACAGGTTTGATGGGAGGATTTGATCCCAGCTTTCCATTATAGTATTATTTATTCCTCAACTCCTAGTTGATAGAGTATCTGGCTTTAGTTAAACTAACCATGAGAAGGGCTTCGTCAGTGTTTCCCCTGCATTCATTTAGCAGCGGCGCACACCAAAAATATGGAACAGGAATCAATAAAGCGCTGTAATGATAACCGGACTAACTTTCCCAGAAACCTTCCCAATAAAATGTTAACTAGCGACAAAGTAGCCTATGCCTACCTGGCAGAATGATATCATGATTATTTCGATCAATCCAGTGGCCATTAGTTTTGCAAACTCCATCACGTGTGTGCTACAGAAACACAGCTACCTAGATGCACGGGCACTTGAATTAAAGGGTAACTACACTAAAAAATAAACATGTCTTTAGATGTTTCCCAGTCCTCAAAAGTGGTCTCCTGATGTGGTTTTAGCACCAGGCTCTGTCGCAGCCGGCCGCGACCGGGCTCTGTCGCAGCGAAAACCTGAAAAAACTGTGGCAAAACGCTCACACCTGACCCCCCCGCATGCGCACAATATGTGAACACACTGTGATCTTGCCATCATACCTGTGGTTCCTGTTCTGTTGAAAAATGAAATTACTAGTATCATTCTAGGAAAAATACTGTGAAAAATATTAATGAAATTAAATAATTCATTTGCACTAAATCACTGTGTTTGCTGCTTTATTTGTTATAATTTAAGGCTCTGGATTGCAGGAAATGGCACTTACATATGTTTAAAAAATAACAACAAATTTCTGACTCCAAAGCCCCCCCCCCTCCGGGCCTCCCCATCACATCACTCATCAGCACCACCTTGTTAAAGAAGCCAGGGGAGAACCCTGGATGTATTGTTTGTCTAGGAGCAAGGATGCTAGGATGCGAGGAGATAAAGGTGATGGTTCTGTAATGCTGTGAATGTCTGTCCTCTCCCTTCAGAAGACTGCACTGATTGCTTCGGTGCTCAGAAGAAGGATGAATCCAACGACAAAGAGAAGAAGGAAGAGGAAGACGTGTCGACGTCTGTCCATCACTCCATCATCGAGACGTGGGACTGGGGGCGGCAGCCAGGTGGGTGGGATCTGTTTAGTAAACACCTGGACAGAGCTGATTAGGAGTAAACAACAACAATAAGTAAATTATGACTTGACTTCACTGGAGTCTACAACCTACTTACTGCTTGTAGGCTGCTGTTTGGGTCTGAGTAGGCTGCTGTTTGGGTCTGAGTAGGCTGCTGTTTGGGTCTGAGTAGGCTGCTGTTTGGGTCTGAGTAGGCTGCTGTTTGGGGTCTGAGTAGGCTGCTGTTTGGGTCTGAGTAGGCTGCTGTTTGGGTCTGAGTAGGCTGCTGTTTGGGTCTGAGTAGGCTGCTGTTTGGGGTCTGAGTAGGCTGCTGTTTGGGTCTGAGTAGGCTGCTGTTTGGGTCTGAGTAGGCTGCTGTTTGGGTCTGAGTAGGCTGCTGTTTGGGTCTGAGTAGGCTGCTGTTTGGGTCTGAGTAGGCTGCTGTTTGGGTCTGAGTAGGCTGCTGTTTGGGTCTGAGTAGGCTGCTGTTTGGGTCTGAGTAGGCTGCTGTTTGGGTCTGAGTAGGCTGCTGTTTGGGTCTGAGTAGGCTGCTGTTTGGGTCTGAGTAGGCTGCTGTTTGGGTCTGAGTAGGCTGCTGTTTGGGTCTGAGTAGGCTGCTGTTTGGGTCTGAGTAGGCTGCTGTTTGGGTCTGAGTAGGCTGCTGTTTTGGGTCTGAGTAGGCTGCTGTTTTGGGTCTGAGTAGGCTGCTGTTTGGGTCTGAGTAGGCTGCTGTTTGGGTCTGAGTAGGCTGCTGTTTGGGTCTGAGTAGGCTGCTGTTTGGGTCTGAGTAGGCTGCTGTTTGGGTCTGAGTAGGCTGCTGTTTGGGTCTGAGTAGGCTGCTGTTTGGGTCTGAGTAGGCTGCTGTTTGGGTCTGAGTAGGCTGCTGTTTGGGTCTGAGTAGGCTGCTGTTTGGGTCTGAGTAGGCTGCTGTTTGGGTCTGAGTAGGCTGCTGTTTGGGTCTGAGTAGGCTGCTGTTTGGGTCTGAGTAGGCTGCTGTTTGGGTCTGAGTAGGCTGCTGTTTGGGTCTGAGTAGGCTGCTGTTTGGGTCTGAGTAGGCTGCTGTTTGGGTCTGAGTAGGCTGCTGTTTGGGTCTGAGTAGGCTGCTGTTTGGGTCTGAGTAGGCTGCTGTTTGGGTCTGAGTAGGCTGCTGTTTGGGTCTGAGTAGGCTGCTGTTTGGGTCTGAGTAGGCTGCTGTTTGGGTCTGAGTAGGCTGCTGTTTGGGTCTGAGTAGGCTGCTGTTTGGGTCTGAGTAGGCTGCTGTTTGGGTCTGAGTAGGCTGCTGTTTGGGTCTGAGTAGGCTGCTGTTTGGGTCTGAGTAGGCTGCTGTTTGGGTCTGAGTAGGCTGCTGTTTGGGTCTGAGTAGGCTGCTGTTTGGGTCTGAGTAGGCTGCTGTTTTGGGTCTGAGTAGGCTGCTGTTTGGGTCGAGTAGCTGCTTTGGGTCTGAGTAGCTGCTGTTTGGGTCTGAGTAGGCTGCTGTTTGGGTCTGAGTAGGCTGCTGTTTGGGTCTGAGTAGGCTGCTGTTTGGGTCTGAGTAGGCTGCTGTTTGGGTCTGAGTAGGCTGCTGTTTGGGTCTGAGTAGGCTGCTGTTTGGGTCTGAGTAGGCTGCTGTTTGGGTCTGAGTAGGCTGCTGTTTGGGTCTGAGTAGGCTGCTGTTTGGGTCTGAGTAGGCTGCTGTTTGGGGTCTGAGTAGGCTGCTGTTTGGGTCTGAGTAGGCTGCTGTTTGGGTCTGAGTAGGCTGCTGTTTGGGTCTGAGTAGGCTGCTGTTGGGTCTGAGTAGGCTGCTGTTTGGGTCTGAGTAGGCTGCTGTTTGGGTCTGAGTAGGCTGCTGTTTGGGTCTGAGTAGGCTGCTGTTTGGGTCTGAGTAGGCTGCTGTTTGGGTCTGAGTAGGCTGCTGTTTGGGTCTGAGTAGGCTGCTGTTTGGGTCTGAGTAGGCTGCTGTTTGGGTCTGAGTAGGCTGCTGTTTGGGTCTGAGTAGGCTGCTGTTTGGGTCTGAGTAGGCTGCTGTTTGGGTCTGAGTAGGCTGCTGTTTGGGTCTGAGTCATGGTTTTAAATAATGGATCTCTTGCTAATAGCAGTTCCGACGTCAGACATTGCAGCTGCTTTTTGTTTTGTAAACAAGGCCAGAGGTGTAATGTTAAAATGCAGTGCTGTGTTGGACTCTCCATTTCTAAATGTCGAGTTTTGACATGAGTGGAATTAGAGTATGATAGCTAAAGAGATGGAGAAAACAGCTGTCTCCGGATTACATCTTCAATCTAAGGGCAACCATGGCATCCGTGACAGGGAGACGCGTCCATCATGCATGATGTATACGGGTAAGATAGTCTAGCTAGCTGCATTTTCAGATATTACAAGTTTCTAATTTTGACTAAGTGGTTTCATTTCAAGTTAAAGTGTACTGTTAGCTAGCTAGCTAACGATAGCTGGCTGGCTCGCTAACTAACGTTACTTGTATGATCTTATTATTCATATTTCAGAGCCATTTGCTTGGCTAGTTAGAGCCTAATGTTAGCTACCTGACGATTCATGCAGGGTAGTAACGTCATGAGTTGAGATTATGGTTCATTGTTTACCTAGCTAGCTAGCTACTTGTCTTAACAAAATACTCCACTATGCAAGTAACCATTTCGGGTGCATTCGTAAATTCAGTCTGAGTGTGCCAGAGCGCAGAATAACTGGTGAATTTACGAACGCACAACACCCGTTGAATATGGCCGGTGTCAGTAAACGTCGGCAAAAAAACTTAATTAAATTGTTGCCAGCAGCACAGTTACAGTCACCAACGCTCTGGATAACATAAAAACAGCCTAAAATGCTCTGCTAGGGCGAGTACAATGGTCAGTGGGGTGTTCTCTTATTAAATGAGAGAACACCCTCCCAGCAGAGCTGGTTAGGCTGTTTACATGTTATCCAGAGGCAAGCAATTAACCATAATCCCAATTTTGTGTCTGGAAGTAGCTAGCAAGCTAGCCAATGTTAGCCAGTTAGCTTGGGTGCTTGACTGCCGTTGTGAGGTCAGAACGCTCGGCTCAACCCTACTCATCGGCCAGAGTGTCAAGTGTGCGCTCTGAACGCTCCGAGAGCGAAACGAGATGGGTGGGGCTAAAGCTTAAGAGGGTGTGGACAATGCTTAATGGGTGCCAAAACATTCAAAGGCCATTTTCTCAAAAGTGAGAGTACAAGTTTATCAACTTTCAAAGCAGAATTACTTTCCCATTGTTCCCTTAAATGCAGTGTATGATCTACCATTTTATAGCTGAGTCTCTGCTTTTATCCAATGTAAAACAACACCATTTCAAATGTGGCTACATAAGACCGAATCAAGGCGGTCGGTCACAAAGATATTGACTGAGATATTGGAATAGTGACCCTTTCCCCACCTGGCTGTTCCCTATATATCAAGTCAGACTGGCCTTCTGCTGGTGTGGTTTGAGTGTGCCTCTCCTGGCATGCGAGGTGTGACTGGACTAACTATCAAATGACTGGACAGACCATCAAATAACCGGACAGACCATCAAATAACCGGACAGACCATCAAATGACTGGACAGACCATAGGGCAGTGTTTACTCTAGGTACCCCTCCAACCCCAGCCCGTTGCTATGCTGGGTAGTCCTACCCCCCAACCCCATGGTATGCTCTGCTGGGTAGTCTGGTCCTCCATGCTATGCTGGTTCTAGTCATGTCATAATGTAAGTAACCTAATTCATGTTCCTCTAACTCTCCTGAATGCCTCTTTCAATCCAACAGCTATGGTCAGCAGTAATCATGCGAGTTATACTGTTAGCACTGAGGCTGTTTGCCCTAGTAGGAAGCCCACTGTGTGCAGTTCACCCTGCAATGTCAGCATGAACATAAATATCACTGTCAAGTCTACCTCTGATAAGCTTCCCAGAAAAGCGCTAAAAATAGCCCACATTATTTTATTTATTTTTATTTCACCTTTATTTAACCAGGTAAGCCAGTTGAGAACAAGTTCTCATTTACAACTGCGACCTGGCCAAGATAAAGCAAAGCAGTGCGATTAAAAACAACAACACAGAGTTACATATGGAATAAACAAAACATAAAGTCAATAACACAATAGAAAATATATATACAGTGTGTGCGAATGTAGTAAGTTATGGAGGTAAGGCAATAAATAGGCCATAGTGCAAAATAGTTACAATTTAGTATTAACACTGGAATGATAGATGTGCAGAAGATGATGTGCAAATAGAGATACTGGGGTGCAAATTAGCAAAATAAATAACAATATGGGGGTGAGGTAGTTGGCTAATTTCAGCCTAATATGCAGCCTAAGAAACAAGGTTCATGAAATTGATAACTTGCTAGTAACAGATAACATCAACAGAAAGGGACGAGGCAAAAGGAATGGCAAACAAGTCTGGCTGCACAGCTGATCGGCAAACATACTGTAAATGTTTGCCATGTAACTAAACTAAACAAAAAGAAGAAAACTGTACTAAGAAACAAACATAAATTATATAAAGTATGATAGTAAAAAGCTTTGGAGCACCTTAAATAACATTTTGGGCAAAAAGGCAAACTCATCATCATTCATTGAATCAGATGGCTCTTTCATCACAAAACCCGCTGATATTGCCAACTACTTTAATTATTTTTTCATTGGAGTATTATCAAACTTAGGCATGACATGCCAACAACAACTTCTAAGCCTCCACGTCCATGCATAACTGACCAAATTATGAAAGACAAGAATTGTAATTTTGAATTCCGTAAAGTGAGTGTGGAAGAGGTGAAAAAATGGTTGTCTATCAACAATGACAAGCCACTTGGGTCTGACAACATGGATGGAAAATTACTGAGGATAATAGCGGACGATATTGCCACTCCTATTTGCCATATCTTCAATCTAAGCCTCCAGGAAAGTGTGTGCCCTCAGGCCTGGAGGGACGCCAAAGTCATTCCGCTACCCAAGAATATCAAAGCCCCCTTTACTGGCTCAAACAGCCGACCAATCAGCATGCTACCAACCCTTAGTGTTTGAC